CCAGGTGAGAGCAACATGACCCTGAGATTAGCTCAGTTGGTAAGAGCAGGGTGCTAAAAGCACCAAAGTTGTGGGTTTAATCCCCACACAGGCCATTCACTTAAGAATTGGATTAGATTATTCTTGTGGGTTCCTTTCAACTCAGAATATTATGTGATTATTTGTCTGCTGTCTGATGAGGAGGATGGAGATGCTCACAACAAGGGAAGGATATGATCACTTCGAGGAGCCAAGATGTGACTGGAGCAAGAACTGAGTGGAAGGTGATGAGAAGGAATGTGGAAAAGGTGATGCCTTTTGAGTAGCAGAGATTTCAGAAATACCAGCCAGGAAATAATTTGGGCCTGAAAAAGAGCTGCAAATGACTGACAAATTGAAATATGAGCTCAAAGATCCAAGCGGTGGGCAGGAGTAGTGGGGGAGATAAAAAATTTGAACACACACTACTTTGAAAAAAGAAAGGGAGGAACTTAAAGTTACCAGGAGTTTATAGTTATGCCATACCCAACATACAAAATTCAGCAGCCTGGAAATATCCTGATGTGCTTTGGTTACCAAGCAATATTACCAGATTTTACAGGACAGGAGGACATAGCCTCAAGCTGTGCCAGGAGAGGTTCAGGTTGGACATCAGGAAGAATTTCTTCACTGAAAAAGTGGCTGCGCAGTGAGGTGGTGGAGTCATCATCCCTGAAGGTTCTCAAGAATTGACTGGACACAGCACTTAGTGCCACGGTCTAGTTGACAAGGTGGTGATCAGTCATAGGCTGGAGTTGATGAACTTTGAGGTCTTTTCCAAACTTAATGACTCTGTGATTTTGTGATTTTGGAAAAACAAAGCCCCACTTTCTGAGTTGCAACAAAAAAAGTCACAAAGCTTCTCATTTCACATAGGATTATTCAACCACTTGCAAAAAAGGGCAAGAAAAAAGATGCAAAGTCTTTGTAGAAAACTGCCCTGGCCTGTAGCAGTAGATTGAAAACCCAGCAGTGAAGAGGGTATGTATTTATCATGATTGCTTGCAGCCCCTGGTCTAGGGCACTGTCCTATGAAATGCTGACTTGTCCAGTTTAGGAATATTGTTGACAACAAAACTATTGCATACAATGAAGAGAACAGATATGTTTAATCAGCATCCCTCCAACATGTAAGTACAAGAGAAAAATCTCATGTTGTTTTCTCACATGTGCCAACATGCCACTTACCCTGCCTTTGCAACACTGATGGTTTGTTGCTCCATTGCCTCATGGATACTGGTCCTGTCATGTTCCTTGATACTATTGAACTCATCAATGCAACAGAGGCCTCCATCTGCAAGCACCAGTGCTCCAGCTTCCAAATTCCACTCCCCAAATTCCTTCACAGCAGTCACTGTCAAACCTGAAGAGTCAAATACTTCAGTCAGTCTCTCCCTTAAAATGCAGGAGTAAACTTGAGTGAAAGAAAGGGGCCCAGCACAGTGGCTTGAGCCATGGACAGAGGGCAAACCAGCAGGAAAGCTCCATCATGTACTTCTACCATGTAATTGAACTCACTTTACAGCTACCAGCAAGCAATCTCATTAGTGCTGAGGTGGGTTAGGCTGGAGCTGTGGAGCAGATTCTGCTAAGCTTCCCATGCTTGGATTGTGACTTGTTTTAGAACTTTGTTAAATGAACAGAAGTGATTAGCATACAAAGACTAGATCTGGCAAATCATACTGAAAATTGGGGTAAAGACTGCAAAATTATGGAACAGACCCATTGTCCTGGGGTGACGTTATGATGCTTGTATCCCCATTCATCTGTTCTGTGCCTTTAAGACCAACTCTGAAGAGTGGAAGTTTTGAGTTTCTCTTATCAGGGACACAGAGACGAGCAGTACATAGGGCTGTTTTTCACTTCTTGCTTTCAGCTTGCTGCTTTGCTTGCTCTCTTTTCTGCTCTCGCTTCTGCTCTGCTTTGGCCTCTGCTTATTAGCTAGGTCTAGCTAAACAGTCCAAATTCCTTCCCGGACTGTTTCTCCTCTCCTGTTTCTGTGACCATCTCGAACCTGCTCCGGACTGGGACCTGGGAACACCGAAGGTTTGCACTGTTTTGGCCTGCAGCAGCTGCCCCAGCGCCGGAGGGACTGAGAACAGAGCAACAACCCCCGAAAGAGACTTTCTGATTTTGTCATCTTTCTCAGAGCGGTGTCATTGGGTATTGTTCATTTTGTGTGCTGGGGGGTGCTGTGCCTGAAATAAACAGGTTCTTTCCACCTCTCTCCAAGGAATTTTTTCCCAAACCGGTTGGGGGGAGGGGCTGTTTGGGTTTTGCTTTCTGGAGGGGCCCTCCTTTGCAGATTCTTTAACAAATTTGCCCTAAACCAGGACACCCATTCAGGTCCTACTCCACATCAGCTGCTAAAATGAACAGAAATTTTGGAGTTGCAAAGCAAAGCTTGGAAAAAAAAATATATATCAGTTGTCATTTAGCTCATGGCCCCAGAAAGTGGAGTCAAATTCTTCCCTTAAACTAAGGAAATTAAATTTCTTTATGAGTTTTTGGTTTCCTCTAAGCATTAAGCAAAAATGAAAATCCAAAGATGACCAAGGATGAAAAGGGGAAAGAAATAAAAAAATAAAAAGAAGAATTAAAAAAACATTGGGTGGATCGCTAGTCAAAACCCCTGCATAACTGTGGAAATGGCCACTCATTAGCGAATATGTGCAGCTCCCTCTAATCCTTCTATTCCCTATTTCCCCGCTTCTTCTCTATCTTTAGCCCTTCTTTTCCATTCCAGTGTTCAGCCCAAAATATCCTAGTAGTTGACAAGCTACTAAAATCTCCTGGAATTCTATGGCAAAACCTGCACAAGAATCACAGAATCACCATTTGGTTCAGGGCTACAAAGACCTTGTCATCACTGTGCAGCCCACCACAGTACCTATTTGTTTGCAATGACCAGCAAAAAGTTACTGGAATTAAACACTCCCTGATGATATAATATGTACTTCAAATTCTAATAAGGAATCTGCTCCACCACGTCCAATCTTTCTTGGTTTTCCTGGACTGTGTGCCGAACACCATGGGCAATCAATCACACTGCTGAGTTACAGAAACACAGAGTACCAGGCAGTACGAGAGCCTGGCTGCGCATTTATTTCTGAATATTCTGTGGTGGGGGTACACAAGGTGCACCCCCAGAGCCACAGGCACTTTCTGCTCTCCCCCCGAGCCGTGAGGGACATCAGTGGCTCTGCTGTGCTGTGTGTCTGTCACTGTCTCTGCAGTGTCACTCTGTGCATGGCAGCCATGAGATGGCCTCTGCTGCAGGCTCCTGCCACCACACAAGATGGCCTCCCCTGCTGCACTGCACACAGGGCCCTCTCACCGGCAATGCTGCTGTGCAGGTAAAATGTCCTGTCTTGTAGCACTTCAGGGCACATGAGCCTTCTACAAACAGAGGAAGGGGATGGCTTCCTGACAGGCATGCTTGCCTCCCTGCACAGCCCCTCTGGGGTGGCCTCTCCAGCAGCCGCCCCCAGGGCCCTGCAGACAGCCTGTCCCCCCCGGGGCACCCCCCAGCCAAGGCCACTGTACTCAGGGGCTCTATCCCAGCCAGACAGAGCAAGGTGCTCTATCCCAGCACGGATATCCCTTGCCAGTGGCCAAGAGGTCCCTGCCGTGGGCTGCAGGCTTGGCTCACGAGCCTGGTACCAGTGCCCAGCCCCACTGCCCTGAGCTGGGGGTGCTCCTGGCACCTGGGCACCACCAGCACCCAGCACAATCAGTACAGAAACAGGAAGACAAAAACTCACCAGACAAAGCATAACAAAAACCCAAAGGGCTGAAATGGACCCAAAACTGAAAGTGCTCCTGCACACATGGTGGAGCCCCACAGGCATGATGGTTTAGCCTGCAAGTGAATCACTGCTTTCTTTCACATTCTTCTTAGGGGATGCTGAAAGCTTAATGCACCTTTCTACTTGATTAGACTCGTTTTGTGCATTCGGACAGTAAAAGTGCTTGTTCTGGGAGGTGCTGGGAACAATTTCATCATGAGTGCTGGACTAAGAGTAGTTTTTCACTCTTCCCAAGCTGCCAGCATTGCAGTTGCTGTTTATACAATACTGCACAATCTTAGCATATAAAAAACCCACTTAGGATTCTTTTAAACACTTCTGAATCTTCCCTTTTATAAATAGGGTTAAATAAAACTTTAAGATGAGCTCTAGTTGCAAGCAGTTTTTTGTCTTGTTGAGATACAGTGCTTCTTTACCATTTTGCCTAAAGTGAATGGACAAAAGACTATGTTTTGTCCCTGTTCTACCCATGGTTCTAATTTAGTTATGACATTTTGCCCTACTATTCTTCCAGCCTCAACTTTCAGCTTAGGGCACTTTCCAAGCTGGATGTGGTCTTACATTGTTTACAACTTGTAGAGGATGAACACTTTGAAAGGAAATTACTTTCTTCTTCAGCTCATAGGGCTCACAACTTTAAATACAATACACTGACAAAAGATGCGTCTTCTATATATTAATCTAAACCTTATAAATTTTAATAAAAGTTATTGTGGTAAGCAGAATAAACACAGTCCCATAAGATATATGCCAGCAATTGAAATAAAGTTGCATCTTAGGACTTAATTTTGTCTTTTAAATAAAATCATTGCAAGGCAACAGTTTTCGAATTAAGGTAGAGTCCTCTTGGTCATGAATGGAGAGCTGATTAGTCGTAATAAGAGCTTTCCTCCTGATTTTCCCCTTGCCTGGATTTAATAAGATAAGAAGAAAAGAGATAAGCTCTCAGTCCTTTTCCGGGAAATCAGAGAAGCAGATGTTCCGCGCCTCCCTCAAGCTCGCCCGGATCCTCCCCCGCCCTGGCCCCGCCCCCTGCTCGGCCCCGCCCCCCGGCCCGTTGGCGGTTGCTGGCGGCCGTTGCCGGCGCGCGCCGGGCGGGGGCGCTGCGGCGGGGGCGGCGCGGGGCGGGCGCGCGCGGAGGCCGCTCTGGCCGCCGCTCGGTGCCCGCCGTGCCCGCGGAGGGAGGGCCCTCGCCCGGCGAGCGGCCAATCCGGGCGGGCGCTGGCGGCGAGCAGGGGCAGAATGGGCTGTAGTTGAGCGAAATAGGGAAAGCGGCGAACAGTGTGGAGCGTTCCCGGTGTAAATAAAAGGGGGGGAGAAAAAAAAAAAAAAAAAAGTTTGTGGAAGTCGCCGCCCTGCAGCCTCGCTCGGGCAGCGGCGCGGGGGCTTGTGCGGTGCGGGAGCCCGGCACGGAGGACTTTGGTGCGCGGCGTTAACACGCTCTGCCTATTGTTTGTGTTTTTTTCCAAAATATGGCAAAGGTTCAGGTGAACAATGTAGTGGTGTTGGATAATCCTTCTCCTTTCTACAATCCTTTCCAGTTCGAAATCACATTCGAGTGCATAGAGGACCTGTCTGAAGGTGAGTAGAATTTTTCTCCCCGATACGGATTTTGCAACCCGGGGCTCCGAGCTCGGGGCATTTAAGGCTTAAACTTTGCACAGGCCTGCGCCTACAATTTCACAGTCTCTCCACCTCGGCCGCATCGCCGTGCCGAGCCGAGGGGATGTGCCGGCCGGGCGAGGGGATGTGCCGCTCCCGCCGAGCCCGGCGCCGGGGAAAGTTGGCGGTGTCCGCCCGCTCTGGGCGCCGAGCCGGGCCCGCCGCCTCTCCCCGCCATCGGCGAGGCGGCGAGCTGCCTCAAGTTGCGAGGAACTTGTTAGAGTGGAGGTAGCCATGTTGCCAGCTTTGTGTGTGCGTGGGGGGAGCGAGCGGGAGACAGGAGGGTTGAACCGGGCTCGGCGGCCGCGCATCCCCGCGGGCACACGGGATGCTGCGTGTTTAGCCCCGGCGGTACTCGGAGCGCGGAAAACGCTCCGCGGGGATGCGTTTCGATGGCCTCGTGCTCCATTTTAATACTAAAAAAAAAAAAAAAAAAAAAAAAAAAAAAAAAAAAAAAAATTCACGGTGGGAGGCGGGGGCGGTTGACTGGCTGCCCCCGCATGCCGGCAGCAGGCAGCCGCGGTAGGTGCGCGGGGGTCGGGGGCACGGCTCGGAGGGGAGCGCTGGCTGCGGGAGCCCCCTCCGGGGGGGGAGGGGGCCGCCCGCCTGCCACTATTTTTGGAAGTCACTCGAAAGTTACCGGCAGCCGCCAGTGGGTGGGGGACGGCCCCGGCCTTGCCGCCCCACGGGGACCCCGGTCCTGAGCCGGGGCCGCCGCCGCGCTCCCGCCTTCCCCCCGAGTCGGGCGGGCCGCGAGCCGCCCTCGCCCCGGCCGCGCTCCGCAGCGCCGCCCCCCGGGCGGCCGCGGGACGCGCCCCGAGAGGCCGCGCGTCGCCCCGCGGGCGGGAATTTCGAACGGCTCCGGGCGAAGGAGGGAGTGCGGGCGCTCGTGCCCGCCGGCGGGCCGGGGAGCGGCCGCTGCCCCGAGAGCGGGAGGAGGCCGCCCGGCCGGGCTGCCTGTGCGCGGGAGAGGACACTCACTGCCCGGGCGGCACTCGGCGGAGCCCAGCGCCGCCTGCTCGCCAGAGAGCCCCGCGGGCGGAGGGCCCAGGGCAGGGCTGCGGAGAGGGGGAGTTGCGTGCTGTCCTGGCTGAGGTGCCATGGCAGGCTCGCTATCGCTGCGGCTTAGTCGCCTCACCCCGCCTGCCTCTGCAGCAGCGCGTACTCGTGCGTGCCGGCGGGATGGTGACAGCGCGGGAGGGAGGGAGGGACGGCCGCCGTGGCGGGAACTTCAGAGGAAGTCTCGCCTGAGCCAGGCTTTCCTCTAGGCCTCCTCAGCCTGTCTCCTGCCTTCCTGCAACTGACCGACACAGCGGCTGGAGCTGTGCTCCATGCCCCGCCACGTTGCTGGCTGGATCTCTCCGGGCAGCCTGCCCATCCGAGGGGCAGCACCGGACCCCCTCGGTGGCAGCTGCTATGGCAGGTGGCAGTGCCCCTGACAGGGGCTCTGTGCAACATGTTAGGCTTTTCCTTCATTTGTGCACAGCTGTATGTGATGTGCTCCTCACGCTCAGGACTTATGTTAAAGTTAATCCTGGACAGTCGTGATGAGAACAATTATAGATGGTCCAATGCAGAATTCTCAGCTCCTTTCCCCCGCCAACATGCAAGTTAAGACTATAGGATAAATTAGGGATGAGCACTGCTATCTTTCACATTTCAAAATAAGATTAAACACAGCCATTGTATACTTGATAAAAAGTCATTGCCTTAGCTTTCCTATGCTAATACATCTGTTTATTGTGTTGTTTTCAGCCTGTGCTCTGCAACACTGATCCTACAATTCAATTCATGAACTTCAGCTCTCTTTCTTATCAACATAATTAAATAACATTTAAAATTTATTTTTTAAAAGTCTAGGTTTAGTACTAAATACTTTGAGTTGTTTAGAACAAGTTATATATTGTTCTCCTAGAATAATGGCACAGGATGGTGTGGTAGTCTTAAGCAGTTTAGCCTAAAAGTCCTCACTTGTAAGTAGTAATTGGTCCTCAGATGAAGACAAGAAAGTTCCTTAATTATCCTGGATGAGTACCCTGCAACACTGACAACAGCTAATATTTCATGCTTAAAAGGTAACTAAAACCTCTGATACAGTACCTAGAAAACTGCTGTGTTGTACAGAGGAGTAAAATCCCTTCCCAAGCCCTGTTTATTGTGATAGTTAAGCCTGCAAAACCTGCACTAATGGTAAACAAAATAAGCAAGATGAATTCGCTAATGAGGAAAGAGTTCCAATCTTAAAGCAGTCAAGTTCTGTTTCAAGTGCTAATTTTTTTTCTATGCTTAAATTCCATTCCTGCATCCAGAAACCATGAGGCAGACCTTTGGATTTGCCGAGTGGACTAATCAAGTTAATGTAATAGCTTACAGGTTTGTGCTTTTGCAAAGGCAATCAGGGCATTGTTCACAGGGGGAAAAGAAGAAACACACCATGTAAGTTTTTAAGGTACAGTTCTGAAACACAGCTTAATTAAGAAGTGTTAGTTATAGATTTTTGTAATGGTGGTCTCTTTTTTTCCCCTTTTGTTTCAATAACCCCAAAATCTGTCTTGCAAGATTAGTTTCAGATGTGTGTATAATACTGTTTTTTTGAATCAAAAGGGAAGGTGAAAAGCTGACCCAGGAAGAGCTAATTTGGGTTAATTTGCAATTTCAACTTAAACATCTGTGGGGAAGAGGCTGAGTTAGAAAATACTGATTTGTAATAAATGTTGGTTTAGTGCATGCCTTTAAGAAGCAAAATGCTACACTGATTTTTTTTTTGTTTTTTGGTCTATAATTCAATTTCAGGATGTAGATAAGATCCAACATCACTGTCTTTAAGAATATGGTCTAGTCATGCTGTCACCATTTTATGTACTTTTATGTACTTCCCAGGTAACACAAGTGACATACGAAGGAAGGGCATACAGTTAGTGTGCCTGGAGCTTGCCCAGTGGGTTTCTTACTCAATTAACTACTTTCCATGATCTGTGTAATTTAAGCTGTGAGGTGTGTATGTGCAAGGTGGGAATTTTGGTTTTGGGAGGTTAGTCAGTATTCAAGGATGTGATGATTTATAGGCATCATCCCTCTACTGCAGCCATTCTGACAGACTTTGAGAAGATACTCAACACAGCTCCCCGTTAGTAAAAGGGTCCTGCTCTCTGCATGAACTTTGAAAATTAACCTCACTGTGAAAATAGAGGGGTTCCTGTGTGGTACATCTGACTAGAGAGAGAAAGTGGGATGATCTGTTTCATGAGGGTCAGGCATCAGTAAATTTTTCTGATGAAGACAGGTCCTTGTTATTTTAGGTTTGTTGCCAAAGAAGTAATTCTAGGCTATGCAAAATTGTAGATAGGCAAGAGCGGAAGACCCCCTAACTGTGATGACAAATAATCTCTGCTTTTTCTTCTTTTTTTATGTAGATTTGGAATGGAAAATAATTTATGTGGGTTCAGCTGAAAGTGAAGAGTATGATCAGGTGTTAGACTCTGTTTTAGTTGGACCTGTTCCTGCAGGCAGACACATGTTTGTATTTCAGGTAAGTTTGATTTAACCCTTTCTAAAAGTTGTGTTAATTTGATTAGGGACAACTGTATCAAACTAAGAGGCACTTGAAAAATAATGGTGAAAAAATGTTGCAGTGAGCCCCTGAGGTATGATATACCTTCCTTTAAAGTCTGTTCTTGAGCTTGTACTTCTTGCCTCTGATATTGCTTGTAATATTTTTTATTTGTGGTATCAATAATAACTGATAAAAGCACAGTTCCCATAGTTACTGATAATTTTAACCAGTCTGGTTCATAATCAGCAGTGCCAGGTGCCTGGTTTACACCAGCACCATCAGGCTCACCTCTTCTGCTCCTGGTAGCAGTTTCAGACAATCAGGAGCACTAGGTTAATGTACACAACAGCTTCAGAGGATCAGACCAACAAACTAATTGAAAAACTCAGCTGGAATAATCAAGACGTTTGTTTCTGTTTGGCAGAACACATGGTCAACTGTGCTGTTTGGCTAAGCATGCTAAATCATAACAAAATACAGTGATTTCTAAAATAAAGATAGAAATTCACTGGTAAATAGGAGGTACACAAGTGTGTAGGTCAAGACTGCAAAAACAAGTCTAGAACATGTGACAGTCTATAAAGTACTGCTGTTAATGCCAAAAGTTAATAAGGAATAACGAAGGAAAAGAAAATAGAGAAATAGCAACACTAAGATGACTTACTGGTCTAGACTTGTTTGTTTTAACTCAGTGAGAAGCAGGGGGGAAAACCTCAAGTGGACTTGCCTGAATTCTTACAGAAGCTTTCTTTTGTTTGGGATAACTTCTTTTGTGGTGGTGGGGTGTTTTTGTTAGTCTGTTTATTCAAAACTATAATTTTTATTAAAACTCATTTTCTCTATGAAGTACTATATTTATTTTTTGTAAACTGACAGCAAAATCCATTGGATAAGAAATCAGATAGAAACTGAGTATATCTTATTGTATAAGAACTCTGCTGTTTTCCCAAATAGTCTAAATTCACTTAACTAATGGCAAACGCATGCTGAAGTATGAGCATTAAAGAACACTGAAGTGCTGACTCCCTTATTTCTCATGGTTGCTGTAACTGATTTAAAATAATACTAACATTTGTGAGGCAATCCTGATTAATCCTGTAAGTTGCAGGAAGGGTAGTTTATTTGGCATTTTGTGGGTATTTGTTTGTTGATTCTGGGCCTTTTTGTTTTGGTTTTTTCCTTAAAGAACAGGCTTAAGGAATAGGATTAGACTGGGTGTTGCAGCATTTATTAACCACCCAAATCAGTGTTGAAACATTTCTGTTTGGTTTTGGAGCCAGGCCTAATTTTTCCACACTACAAATAAAGCAGATGTGTAACAAATGCATCATTGATTAACAGTTTTTCCATTATCAAGCCATTACAGCTTATGGCATTAATTGGTCCGAAATAGGTGATCCTCTATTGCTCTCAGAGGGGCTACCTTGTGTTTGTATGGTGGAAAATCAGCTGGCATTTACATTTCTAATTTGAAGATGCACTGTTCTCAATCAAAGGTCCAAAGATTCCTTGTTGATGGTGATGGGAAAGGAGCAAGAAGCAGGTGCCTAAAAAAGGCACGTTTTGGCTGTATGATTAGGCAGGTCTCAAATTAAATTTACTGGTCTTGCAGTTTCTGTAGAATGGACTTAGTAATTGTCTTGTGGTTATAAATGACACTACAGCTAAATCAGGAGGAGAAGTGTAGAGATTTTGCTTAGATTGGAATAGGTCCTATAAGAGATTCCATCTGTTAAAATATACTCTTTATTTCTTACGGAAGTATGGTTAGGTCTGAGTATATTACCCTTCAAAGGCTCTGGATTTCAGGTGAGGGTAGGACTCAGCACATGTGTACACAGGAAACCACCAAAACCCAAAGTGCTGCAAGAAGCCTTTGCTGATGACTGAAGCAATTTTATTCACCAAGCTGAAGCAGCCTGGGATACGGAGAAAACAAGCAAGGAAGGCAAGAATAGGGCAAAGCACAGAACTGCAGGAGGCATGTGACACAAAGAAAAGAGATTGTGTTCATGGGGAATAGCATAAGGAAAGGACCTTTGCAGAAGAGTATAAAATTTTCAGATCATCTGTTGTAGATTTTTCTTGATAGGAAAATGGCTGAAATAGCAACTAAAATGGAGTACCACACAGATAGATTACCGAGGATGACAAAAATACCTTAGATGAAAAAATTATGTGAAACAGGTTGTAAATTGAGCTTTACAGAAAGATGGACAATTAATGTGCTTTTCAGACTTAGAAAAGCAGCTTTTTGTTTAAACCCCCAAAGCATTACCTTTAAAAGGGTTTCAATAGTAAAGGCCCACAGCTTGGCCTGTTTGTTTCTAAATCCCAAGATATACATAGTGGAACCCGATTCCTTCTCAATTCTCTTGGGAATTTGTAATAAAATCACAGAAACTTTTTTGAGCATATAAGCACATAAATAATTTACTATCCTTAAGTGCACATATAACCTTTGCTACCTACTCTGCAGCAATAGCTATGAGAATAAATATCATGTGGTAAAGCAAGATAATTCAAGGCAACATGTGGGCTGATTTCATCAAATTCTTGAGTAATTTATAGCATAATTATGACATATTAAGACAGTGATTTTTATGCAAAAATTAATCTACTGCCTCTGCCCACCAAAATATCTGTTTGCAGGTAATCTGCTTATTTATCATTTGGTCATACCAAGCTCTTTTTTTCTGCCATCTGTGTATGATGTTTGGTTCCTGAGTAATTAAGGAGTTTGACAAAACTAGGAAGTTAAAAATCTGAAAAAACTGTTTTAAACAGTCTTCAGTGTCTTTTTCATGCAACAAAACGATGCTTGAGAGAGAAGTAGAATTAGAACAGAGTATTTCCTTGGGTTCAGAACTGTCATAAGATATTACACGACAGAAAATTACAATGGCAACCTGGAAGACTAAGATCCTACATCAGAATGGGAGTTGAGTTTAATGGGGAGGTAAACAGAATACGGTTCTTCTGTTGCCCATTACTGTGGAATTTAAAGTGATCAGATAGTTCTGGGCACTGTTAGAACAAGACTACTGAGTTAAAGTAATGATGTAAACTGTATTGGCAGTTCTTGTGATTTCCTCCAGCTTCTGCATTTTTTCTGTTTCTTGGCCATCTTTTCCATTCCCCTATGCTAGTTGTAAAGCCATTCAGTCATTTTCTATTTCCTTCAGGGCTGGAGGAAGAGGAGTTCTACCTGATTCCCTGGTTTCTTCTCCTCCCTTGGGTGTATTTCTACCCGAGAGGTCTGACTTATCTAATTCTTGTGCAAAGTGCCTACAGCTTCTCACAAAAAGCTAGACTGGTTTGAAGGCTTAAAATTGAAGTGGCAAAGATTAGATGCCAATGCTGCATGAGCAGCAGCTCCCAAATTTCACCATGCTGAAGCACGTAAATACTATAGAAAAGTAGGAATGAGAGGGACAACAGGCATTAATTCCATTCATCCTCTGTCATTAGGCAAGGTTTGTTACACCCAAACTATCTGAACACACGTTACTAATACCAGCTTGTTCTCACAACATGGGTGTTCACTGTTGACTTCAGATCTTCATGTGGAATTGTAAATATGAAGCTGTTTTACTATGCCTGTATTGCTGTTACTTTAAATCCTGCAGCAGAATCAGGCATCACATTTTATCAATAGATGTGGTGGTTAAGAGGCATTTTAAGGGACTGATGTGAGCCACATTTTATGATGCAAATTTTATTGATAAGTAACTGTAGAGCCATGGTAAGTAAGCACACCGAGGAAGATTGTATCAGTTGCATATTAATTAGGTTTGCCTACTGGTAGAAAATGTTCAGGTGTCTTGGATGATGCAGGTATCTGCATAAATTTTAATGAATATGGGTATTAGGAATGAAACCAGAGAAAGTTGTTAATTCCTTTCCTAGAAATCTGTGGAACAGCTCAAACCTTACCATAGCCCATCCCTTTTCTTGCTGAACTATAATTTGCAGTCTGTAGTTTTAAGGATATAGTCTTCTTAAGAGCACACATACAGACCAGTTCAACCTTGAGGGTGTATGAGAAAATAATCTTGCTCTACTCAATTATCAAGATGGGCTGGAGAACTGTGGCACTGTAGAACTGGAGTGATGTTGGTAGCCCTGTGTGAACAGTGGTTCAGCTGATCATTTAAAAGGACTTTTGGATCAAACCTGGTCATTTGCCCATGAAAAATGTCAGCAAACAATCTTACTGTATTCCAATTCTGTCGTTGGAGGATGGTGTTCTAAATCTAGAGTTGATGTTGTGAAAGCAGTATATTTTCTGGTTAACTTGAACAATTTTAAATATAGTCACTACTTAGCTGCTGAAACACACTACTTGAGAGTCCCCTGCTAGGTAGGCATGTGCTATCAATTTTAATTTATCTTTCCCTTTCACATTCAGGCTGATGCACCTAACCCAGGGCTTATTCCAGATGCAGATGCAGTAGGTGTAACAGTTGTGCTAATTACATGCACTTACCGAGGTCAAGAATTTATTAGAGTCGGCTACTATGTAAACAATGAATACACTGAAACAGAACTGAGAGAGAATCCACCAGTAAAGCCAGATTTTTCTAAGGTAAGGCATGTTTTGTTTTAGTCACGTGTCAGAGGTATGCTTATAGAAAAAGGTGTTTAAGAAACAAACCTAAGCCCCAAGTGGTTTCATTAAGTGCATGGAATGAGGCATCAATAATGGAAAATACCTGGGGGGACAGACTGCAAGTGCCATGTAGTTGTCACAAATTTAGTGAATACTGAGAGACCATCAAAAATTTCCACCATCCTGAAGACTTGGCTGTACTTTCACACTGACTGTGAAATAAACCATTGGATTTATTCCCACCTGCACTACTGTTTATAAAATGGCTGTGTTCTTCAGAAAAACATGTTTTTCTAAGCTCATCAACCATCACAATGTTTTTTCTAATCCAGCAACCTGGAACTAAGTTGTAGATATTTATTTACTACAGTTGTTACTCAGGTGTTCTAGGGTCAGAGCTACAGTTTCTGCAAAACTTTAACAAACAAATTGAGGAAGAAATTAAGTGTAAAATGAGAGAACATGGGTAGCCTGGTTGGATCATTATCTGATAAATGTCTAATTTGACAAAGGAAATATAAAGTTATAAAAACATCTATCCTTCATGGTAGTAATTAAACCAGGACTAGAATTAAAAGATTAAATTAAATAGTATGTTTTTCTATGCTTAACTTTATTTTCAGTGATCAGGTACTAAAAAAAATTACTGAAAATTGTAGTAAAGTTTGAGGATTCCTAAACTTTGCATATGTTCCTTTCTTCTTTATTTCTTTCACTTAAAACATAACTTATTTGTTATGTTGGTTGCCAATGCCAAAATGGTGACTCCCTTTAAACGCTTGAATTTAGAATGCCTAGAAGTACTTATCTTCATTCTCTGTTTATATAAAAAGCTAACTTTGCTGCTATGGAAGAGAACAGCACAAGGTATCATATGTTTGTATAGAGTCCTTAATGTGACTTGGGGAAAAAATGGAAGTGCACAAGTAGAAGGTTATTAAAGTGATTGATTAATTATTGTGCAATAAGCTCTACCAGCTTCTAAAAAATAAGTAGTCTTTTTAGTTAGTGTAAAGGGTCAGGAAATACTTAATGAGAGTATACTTTCTTGGAGAATAAAATGGACAAAGCAAACCTTTCCTGTGATCAGTCTGAAATACCATAGTGAGTGTCCATTGGCTCTAAGTTGCCATCCTCCAGGTAAGAATATAAAGAATATATACTCTTTCGCCCCTTTTCAAAATAAGGAAAAAAATCAGCTTCTTTTTTTTTTTTTTTTTTTTTTTGCTGGATACATAAACAAATGCCACATGTTTTCAAAAGAAAATGAAGGCCAGCCATGAGAATAAGATAGATGACTAATCATGTCCACTGCCACAGTGTTAGTATTTTCCAAATATAAATGTTTTTATTTTAAAACTTTAGTTGATAAATCCTCTTAGTGAAATCAGTCTGAAGTTTGGTAGTTTAAGGATAAGGTTGTACTTTTAAATGAAGATGAGAAGTTGATGGAATTGATAGGTATTGCAAATACCATCAAGTTGATGCAAAATTTGATGAAGTACTGTGGTTTGCAAAATCCTTGTGGGGGTAGAAGTTATTTGCTTTACTAAAAGCTGGATAAAATAATAAACACTTGCACTTTACTTGTGGATCTCTTTCACAGCCTTGACCTTGCAGAACAGTTAAAACACTCTTGAGAAAGTGGTTATTTTGCTGAGGAGAATATTAGAGAAAATAATAAGTGGTGTACTGTAAGCACATTTCTGATCCATAGGTAGTAGCTATAGATTCACATTGATGTGAATTCCCTTTTTAAACAAACTGTTAAGCAAACAAGGCTATAGGGACTAAAAGGAAAAAGATCTATATGCATATGAACTCCAGTTTTAGATATGCACATTACAATCCATATATTTTCTTCTTTCCCAGCTTCAAAGGAATATTTTGGCATCTAATCCCAGAGTCACAAGATTCCACATTAATTGGGAGGACAACACTGAAAAACTGGAAGATGCAGAGAGCAGTAACCCAAATCTACAGTCCTTGCTTTCCACAGATGCATTACCTTCAGCATCAAAGGGGTGGTCAACATCAGAAAATTCACTAAATGTTATGTTAGAATCTCATATGGACTGCATGTGACTAACCACCATCCTTTTGGTACTGTATATGTGTTAAACTGTAAAAACAACCAGAACTATTTCCCTCAAATTCCATAAGTACATAGTTGAAGCAATGTGAAGAACTTGTTTTAAAACATCCTGTAGAAAGTTTATAAAAAAAAAAAAAAAAAACAGAAAAAACCCAACAAACAAACAGTATTTGAGCAGATTGTGAAATATAAATACAACTATTTTTAAGTAATTGCCTTTTTTTTCTAATGTGTTATTCTATGTGGTCTAAACCAAACCTGATTAAAGTATATGTATTCTCTCCCCTCCCCCCTTACTTTGTAAGCACTATTAAAAGCAAAAAAAAGTTTAAAAGTTAAAGCATTCAGGCAAAATGAAGGAATAGTGCCATGTCCTTGTCTCTGCTATCCAGATTGCCAAATATAAAGTGCCCTTTAATAGCATCTTAAGAACAAAATTGTCATTAGATGAAGTGCAAAGAAAGAAAGAATCTCTTAATAACAAAGTCCAAAAATGTCCTTTTGCTCTGAAAGCAGACAGCACAGTATAATTTTAGGTGCAAGCTTCTTTTCCTTTCAAGGCACATACTTGTTACTTAATGCCTGCAATTTGAGATTTACCATCTGCTATCTTGGATTTTAGGATTTTTTTTTTTAATCTCTTGCTGCTACTGTTTAGTCAAACTATGGTTTTGTTCAGGACAGTGTTTCAAGTGAATTGGGGTGAGTACCTCAGGACAGAGCCCTTTTTCAGGAACCCTAATAGCATACACAGGTGGTTGAAAGGATGCAAGCAATTACTGGAAGATTGTAAGCCTCAAAAGCAATAGTGTGAATATCCCAAATATGCTCTTCTGTAAGATTATTATGGATTACTACTGGTTAGTGTGTTTGTTTTCAGGCATGCTTTATCGTAGTCTTTTTCAGTAGTAGTAAGGAGTTTGGGTGTTTTCTTTCATTTTTTTGAAACACCTGGAATTTTAAACTTCTCTGTTTTCTCTCTAGCCTTTAAGGCAATCCCATTTACTGGTATGAACCCTGTTGTGGCAGGCATGAGACACTCAAGAATACATTACTTGCCTTGAAGCTTTTGCAGTGAGACATCCCTATTACCTGAGGCATCCTTGAAGATAAAAGGAACTAAGCAGTAACCTGTCAAGACTTAAACCATTATTATGACACTTAAGAATTTAGTTATTCCTTCCAATCCTCATTAGCCTTATTTATATTTATTGTGCCTGTATGTGCATTTAAATTGTTATCTGTCATGCCAGGTTACAGGAATATAGTTCTATTTACTAGTCACTGCCCAAATTATGAACCTTTGTAGGTTCTGGGCCCTTCAAAAAAAGACAGATTTCATGATGATTGACAGTGTAGCTCTGAATTAAATACAGAATGCTTGCTGTTCTCTTTCTGCATTCTCTAATGGGATGAAGATGTCCCAGACAGTGCTTCTGTCTTCCCACATCATTAGTGAAATTGTCTGCATTTCAAATGTGTGGTTCTGAAACTGGAAAGGAATGACCTGATCTGAATGTTTTTTGTGTATGGAAACTCAGCAGTACCCATCTAGGGTGGATGAATGAATTAATGAAATCCATTAATCTTTGGAGGCCTAGTTCTGATATGTGCTCTTAACAATATCTAATTGTTTAAAGTGATAACCAAAAATCTAAAAATATTAACACTCATTGGTAGGACTTAACACAACTGGTTCTGTGAACTAGCATTTACTTCACTTGAGGGCTGAAATTCCATGAACCTTATCTTTGATTTTCAATTATATTGCAACTTTTAGGCCTGCAGTGACATTTTGAGATTTTTCATGCACTTTATGTTCTATTTATAAGTCTATTTAGGATAGCTCATAAATGTAAGCATGTAAATAACTTAGTTATCTGCTGAAGGACTGACAGGCTTGTGAAGTCTGCCTCAAATTAAGGCTACTGTAGTAGTATCTCAAACTCTTGCCTTTATTGAATATTCAAATGAAAATGTGATCCAAGTACAAGCTGTAACCAGAGCCCATCCCACTGCTAGCATGAAGGCTTTTTAGAAGCATATGCCACAAAGCAATGGAAGCAAACCATTATTGCTGCTACTGCAAAACCAACTACAAAATTTAGGCAGCAAAATGATGCCACCCAGCAAACCAATTAATTTAGAGGAATGGAAAAGTGAAGCTCTGTTGTCAGTCTAAAAAGTTTAAGAAGTCATTCGTGCATGAGAACTTGTGTGCAATAAACTTCAGGCTTGACTGTGGTTGGATGCTGCAGTAAAGTTTGGCACCACCTTACCTGATATACTCATGTGGCTTGGATAGCACTGACCCACCAACAGCAGGAAAAATAATGCTGTGCTTGGTGAAAATTGGTGACAAACAACCCTACCTCATGAACTTTGCAAGATAAATGGCATTTCTGTGGTTTTTGAGAGGCTGGGTCCCTCAGGTCTTCGCAACTTTGGCAGATCTTAGCAATCCATACACCCTGCCTTCTGAGCATTGCATTTCCTGACAAAATCACGTTCCAGAGACAAAGAATTTGAGGAACCAACTTCCAGTCCCCCAGAGACTTCAGGCAATATCACAGCACAAACTTACTGGTATTAAAAGATAGAATGCATGTAGGGCATCTGTAAAGACTTGTCCCTGATCTCTGAACATTTTAAAACAGCAGGTCTATGCACAGCCAACCAGTGCTGACATCACAGCATTACAATTTCAAGGTTGAAGATGTTTTCACTTTGCCACTAACTTTTACTTGAAGAGGCCACCAAGATGCAAAGCAATGCTACAGATTCTGCTGACAGGACTGGTGATGTATCTCACTGTGTTTTCATCTGAGGCAGGCAGACCATTACATGACTGTCATTCGTTATTAATGTACAAAGAAGTAAATGGATCAGACAAGGTAACATGGATGAAAAATGTGTGTGGTTTTCATGTCTAGCTTGGAAAAAAGGTCTCCCTCAGCTTATAGTCACTGATTTATTCAGGCATCACCTTCAATCTGAATTACTATGACACTTCAATTTGAAGGAGGCAAAATGGTTCTTCCAGCTCCATCAAAATAGAGACTACTGAAATTTCATCTTTCCAGTAGCTTTACAAAGCTCCACTGAAAAAGCCAACACTACCTACCAATCTTCAACAATGAAGCAACTTGGAGCTTTACTACAATAACCACAGTGTATGGCTTACCAGACACTCTGTATTCATGAGATGGGAGTGACAAAGTCACAAAGAACTCTGGTGATCTGACGGTCCATTATCTTTTTTGCAGTGCCTCAGCTGCTGGTTTTCTGGAAGTCAGCTCACACTGAAAGGTAGCCACTTGTAGCTAGATTGATTGTCTACTGACATCTGAAAATGTTGGTAGGAAGGAAAAGGGAAAAACCCCAAACGTGCTATGCACGTATACTCCGGGCAAATCCTCATTTATCAGGGACAGAAAAGGGCAAAGTTAAATCTGGCCTCTGTCTGGACAGCTGCAGAACCTTCATGTACCTAACTACTCTATTCCTTATGCATCTGCAAGAGTACAGATGATGTAATTTACTTTGAGAGCCACAGAAGTTTGGTCAGGAGATGATGGGTTAATTGTTGCTGTGGTTGCTGGCTGGGGGGCTCTGCTAAGTGCCAGCCGGGAAGATGCAGCAAAACTGACAACTGCGTGTAAGGGCTGGCAGTGTGTGTGGAACTCTTCTTCCTAGGCACTCCCATTTCTGTTTCCAGTTACGCTTCTGCTTCTTAAAAGTTGGTTTTGTACTGTGTGATATGACAGCAGTGCTGGAGAAGATAGATGGAGAGCTTTTCCTTTAATTTTTGGTCTGGGCGAAAATGATACAAGGAAGAGCCAGCTGGAGGCACTAGGAAGCCTTTCTTAAATTAAACCTGAGGCTTCTACGTGGGGATGGAGGGAGGATACATTTAAACATTTCCAGCTTTAGGTAACGCAGTTTTGGAGGCCTGGCTGGATACTCACTGTCCATGGCCTAAGGGGTATGACTGTGGACAAGAGAAAGTCAGAGGAAAGAGGTGTCTGTGCTACACCAGATGCAAGAGACAACAGCTACATGTTACCAGCAGTGTTAAGGTGTTAAGAACTGGATGAACTGAACTGGCAGAAACTTTTACAGAGTTCTGGGGTCTCCCTCCAAAACTCCCTTGGCCCCATGAGATAAAGAGGCCAACGTTTCAAAACAAAGGTATCCCTCCAGTTTGTCCTTTCTCACTAGGAAGGTCGGGCAGAAACAAACTGGAAAGGAGGACGGGCTTCACAGTATGGTAAAGGAAATGCTGAAGATATCTGTTATTCATCCAAAAATCAACTGCTTGAAATGCCTGCCATTTCAACAGCAGGATGAAAAAGTCTGATGAAGGCTGGCCTGGAGGTGTTACAAGTGTGTAACACCTGAAACCTTCAACCAACATGACAAGATATTGTTCCTGCAGTATTTCCCATCCAAACGAACTGTGGGCCTTCAGATATAGAGCTGTTTGAAAAAACCAAAATTTTTGAAGATTGGTATCTCTTGGGCTAAATAATCTCTGTCATTAGGTAGACAAGGTAAGCTCTCCCAGGACAAAGCTATTTTGGAACAGCATTACTGAGAAGAAATTAAGGGAACTAAAGAAGTGGGACATTGTTACAGATGGGGCATGTATGACAATATTTGATCACAGCTTCAAATTTCTTTTCTTCAACAAGTTTAGTAGACTTCCTATAGAGCTAAGGGCTTTCCAACTTGACGCCCAGATATTGAAGAAACAGCCAGTGAAGCCATCCTCAAGAAAATATTTTCAGGTTACATACTGATCAAGTTCATGTACAATTATAAATATTCAGGAAAACAATCCCATGGTAGAAGTGATGATCAGAGAAAAGTGATGACCTAAAGGCTGCATCTGTATTAATAACTTTATCAGGGACAGGGTATGAATCCATGGTGGAAAATGGTTTCCTGGCACTACTTTGGCTTATGTCAACTAGGGAAGGCACAGGAACAGTTGGAGATCTACACAGAGGGAAAAGTATCTCCAGTTTCAGTGTCTTGCATACCTCAGGATACTGACACCATATACTCTATTTATAACCACAGCTGGATGGCTCATGTCAGTGGCTTTGGATTGGTTTCTAATGGATCAGAAGAGAGACAGCTGTTAGCACCTGAAGCCTGCCCAGCAGGGGAAAGCTTACCATGGAAGAAGAAAAGGGGTAGTTTCCCTCAAGTCAGTTCCCTTCAATGAAAAGCAAGGAAAACAGTAGCAAACTGCTGTTGGCATGATATGGACAGCGTTAGACATGACAAAATACCAGCAAAAGGAAGTACTTGCAAGGCTCTGCAGAGGCTCTAGAGGAGAGGCTATAAGGGTGCATATCACACAGCTCAGAAAGGCATGTTATACAGAACTGGAGAGCTGGAGAAACAGCTGATAGTCTCCCAGATTTTTAGGCAAGCTTTTCCAAATACAGTTCACAAAATTCTTTAAGCAATCAATCTGCGGAGGGATGCAACACCAAACAAAATTTTCAGAAGTTTGAACAGTCAAATATGCATTAACAAGCAGCAGAATGACTCTGAGTCCTGGATGTCCATGAGCTCCAGATCTGCCAGCTGCTGCATGTGTTGGTTCCTGTTGCACACCATTTGATCACTGCAAATCTCAAGCTCCAGAGGTAAATGAAATGTTTTCTTACTAGTGATTATCTCATCCAAATAAACATAAGCGGCACTGTGCCTCTGGGGCCTGCAAAACAGTTTATTTAACTCAGTAGTAAGGTGAGAACTCTCAGAGAGATCTTGCTAAGCCTCTCTAAGTCTCTATCTTTATGGAAAACTGTGTATCAATTTCTAAAAATAAAAGGTAGCTGAGTGACTCCCCGTGATTCTCAGATGAGACACAAGTCAAGGAGAATGAACTGGGCCAGTAAAAAAACCCAGTGTAGACAGAACGAAACAGTGGGACAGATGGTTCCCCCATCCTTCATTTACAGATCACAAAGTCCTACAGTGGTCAAATAAATTTTTACCATGGAGTTGTTGCATGTGGGTTGGTCTGCCTGCCAACTGTCATTAAAGAGATGTGGGAGGAACAAACCCCGGTTCCTCATGTAAGTCCTAAACTTGTAGAGAATTTGCAACAGAAAATTTCTGCTAAGTGTTTAAAAGAGAGGCAACTTAATAAATAAGCTCAGAAACTTACTCACTGAGTGGAGGTAAAGTTCTGTTTTTTTCAAAACAGAGAACAAATTATCTGTCACTTCTAAGGGCGGTTTACAGCAAGCGGGCAACCTGAGCCTGCGGGTGAGATGGAAAGATGAAGGTCTTCCAAACCTTCAGCAAGAAAGCAGGGTTTTCTCCTGGGTTGTACTTTCTGAATTGGGTAAAACAGCACAGACTTTGCTTAGAAAGTGGAGGGGAAGGCAGGAACCTGATTGAAAAAGCAGAGGCCCAAGAGCAAATTAAGCTGCAGGAGTTAGGTCACTCTCTTCTGAAATTCTACAAGGCAATTCCAGCCACGTTGGTAGGGGTTAATGGACTGCAGCAGGCACATGATACTGCAGGGGCACAAAGTATCATAGTGGATCTCAGAGCAGTGATGCCCAAGGTATAGCAGGGAAGAAAGAGAATTTTGGCACAAGGAGAATGTTAATGACCTAATATGCTGTCCTGGGACAAATTAATACTTGTACAGAAAACCAAGTAAAACTGGTATGACACAGTTTGGGACACAGAATTCTAATTCAATGCTTAAATAGCTTGTGTCCAGTAAACCAGTGCCAGATGGGTAAAGGGCACAAGGTGTCAGTGTACACAGAATCTTACTAAAGGCTGGTGTGATACTGGCAGTTTTCTCTAAAAGAGGGACCCAGCTTTTAGGAGTTATTTAGGATTTACCCACTCTCATGTGGACTGCAATCCAAGAAGCAGCAATTAAATGCAATTCAGACTGCTTTTTATATACAGCAAGGAACTAGCTGAAAGTGAAACTTAGATATTTAATATTCATACACTGGAGGGAAGAACGTGCATTAGGGCTGTCCTCTCATGGGAAAGCAGAAACTGGTAATTCAAAGTGTTCAATTATGACAAGAAAGTAAAGCAGTTTAATAGTTCTCCAAACTAATCTGAAGCTTCTGCACAGAGAGCAAGTTCACAAAAGTCAATGTTAGGTGCAGCTAGCTACAAGCAGATTCATAAGACAGTCCTTGCACAGGAAAGGCAAAGAAAATAGTAATTCAAACAACACCCAAACTCCTGGTCTAGAAATTAATACCTTAGTCCAGCAGTTCTAGCCATGGAAAGGTTCCCTGAAATTAAACTAGGTTAATAAGATTCCTTGCTAGGCACTCAAGTTTCACTTGTGATAATGGTCCTGAAGAATTCTAAAGTACAAATCTGGTGCTGCTGTCAGATTTGGAAAAAGGGACAGAGAGAAGTTTTTTAAAAATAAGGAATATTTAAGTGAAATAGGGATGATTTAAAGGCCCAAGACAATCCTCTAATGAGATGAAACTTTATCTCCACACATCATTAGTGCACATATATCACAGTAAGCATATAAACTGCAATATTTGTCTTCAGGGACGTGTCTTTGAACCTAGCCATCATGGCTGAGCTGGAAATCAGATCATATTCAGAGCAGGAAGGTGAAGCATGGGAGGGAGACATGGTGAAGAAGGCAACAGGAACATCAGAGACTGAGAGCAATGGACACAGGAAATCACTTCTTACAAAAATGGGCAAAGTCACACTGAAATGAATGGCAAAATTGCACTCCAGGTCACTGCAAGTCCCCTTGCAAGCAAATCTGAAATTACACAGACTGTTCTAAATTCTTAACACAGAACAAAAAGTGGAGAAAAGATTTTGCTAAGCCAAAATTTTCTCTCTGGCTTCACTCCAGACCTATTTGTTAAAGAGTTTGAATGGAAAGTCAGAGGCGTATGTGTTTCATAACAAGTTCCCTGCACACAGGAGTGTACACGTTCAACATCATGTTCCACCTCCACAGCTATGGAAGAGTCAGTATATACATAGCTAGGGAAGATTTATCCTCTGGTTCTCCCATGTACAAATAATGCTATTTCCCAGACATACAATGATAAGCAGCACTCTCTAAGGAATATTCAAGTTACACATGCTAGCTGAGACACTGGGATTTGACCCTAATTATTTTGTGATTTTGAACATACAAGTAGTATATTCATTTGTTCAAATAAAATCATTGGCAGAGGTAATCTGACCCTGTACATTGTCCCAGAAGAGTTTGCAAAGATGGCTAGCATTGAGAGCCAGCTGGGACATGCCTAAATTTAACAAAAGGAAGAAAGAGAAAAAAAAGAAGAAAAAAACCCACTTGCTCTCTGAAACCATTTAAAAACCATATTCATGAGTAAGAAATAATTCCTCAACACAGGGGTGAATTTCCAGAAAGTAAACAGAAATCAAACTGGCACCAGACAGAACACATAAAAGAACAGAAGAGAGGAGATTATCTGTTGAGGAGAAACCAAATGATGCTAGCTCATCACACAGCGTGAGCTCTGGAAAGATGTCATATTTGTCATAGCTGGGAAATGCTAAAAATACAGGGCCAGATCACTCTCTGCTAGCAAAGCATTGAGAGGTGTCTCTGGATGAGGCTTGTCAGGCTCCCTGCTAGCTCATCAGTCCTTCACGGATACAGAGAAAGAGGCAGGACTGCAGAGAGTCAGATCAGGCCTCACATGCCCCCACAGCAGTTCTCTGCTTCAAATGTGCTCACAACCACCTGAGCACACATGTTCACATACCTGAAGGCTTCCATACAAACATACTTGAGT